AAAAAAAACAGTCCATAAACAATGTTGTACTACAAATTGCATATTCATTTAAAGATATAATGTTTTTACAAAATGGTACATTTAATACCAGTGTAAAACCAAACGGAACACACACAAAAAAGGTCCATCTAACGACAAACAGTAAAAAACCTAATCCACTCATATCCTGCCTATCCTATGTGTTGTGTGGAGGGTGTAAGTAATTCTGATCCTGGGGCCCGACACAAACGGCATGTGATTCCGCGAACACCAGCGGGAAACGATAAAACGGGAACAGTCGTCACAATCGCTTTCAGTTTATTGTTTTTCGCGAAACAAAAATAAGAAAAGCCACACTATATGTAAAACATTACATTATTTTATAGTAAAAAGATTGAAACGAAAACCGTTATAACTTATCGTAATTAGCCTTACAAATAAAATAAAAAAATGTATTGTAACTTTAAAATTTGTACTAATATTTCCTTCATCATCACCAGCTCACTATACGTCCCCATCGAGGGGCTCGGAGCCTACCCTATTAAGGGGTGACTAGGCCATAGTCAACCACGCTGGCCAAGTGCGGGTTGGTTGACTTCACACATAGCTTTGAATATCTTCGCCGATATGTGCAGGTTGCATCACGATGTTTTCCTTCACCGTAAGAACGTCGGGTAAATTATATACATATGAAAATTCGAAAAATCGAAAATCACATTGGTACACGGCGGGATTCGAACCCAAGACCTGTAGATTACAAGTCAAGTATTCAAACCACTGAGCCACCGACGCTCTTATAATATATTTCCTTATACACAGTTTATTCCTAAGTTTAGCTATACCGCGTTTATTTGTAAGGTTGTATGAATCTATTTTTAAACATATAAAACAAAGAACAGGCAAAGATTACCATAAAGAAGTCTGTAGATATAATCAGTGATAAAATGTATCACAGAACGACAAAATTAGCCTTAATTCCGACAAAGTGTCATCTCGGAGCTCGTAAAAGCACAGCCAATTAACACAGAATTTATTATCCTCATCGACCTAATTACATTGTATTTTAGACGAAATTGTTATTTAAATTACCAGTTCTAAAAAGAAAAGACTGATTTACTAAAACAGACAAACAGTTTTCACCGATAGCTTAACTAAGTATTAAGCATTCTATGTTACATTATAATCTATACTATTATAATAAAGCGTAAATACACATTTTGTTGCCTAAGATGTCAGAAATTATAGCATATTTTTGAATAATCCTTTTTTTATTAAAAAGCTCTACACTTACGCCACGCTTTAGGCTATATATTTTCACGCCATTAAACTTAGGGGGTAAATATTTTGGATAAAAACCCTAATGTGGGAAAAAGAACATAAGTTGCTGCCAACATCAAGGAAGCAAGGTAGCCATGCTTTGTCATCATGTCATGTCATTTTGACATTTGCTATTGATAATTTGACACATGTAAACAATAAAAATTTCATAATTGTATGCGGATGAAGTCGCACGGGAACAGCTAGTGTTACATATAATTTAAGATATTTAAATAGCTTTGCATATAAACGACTTGATTTGATATAAAATTCATTATACAATTTGTATGCACAAGGAAGCTGGTTTGATGCACCCTCACGGACAAAAACAAAACTGGTTTACAACCGTTTTAATTAAGATTATCTCATTTTGATATTCACAACATTATTTACCCTTATGTTGTGTAATTTAATAAACTGGTCGGAGCCTTACAATATCACCCACAAAAAAAAAAACTATTCTATCATCATCATCAACTTGCCCTTATCCCTTATGGAGGGTCAGCACAGTATGTGCTGCTTCCATACATCTCTATCAGCCGTCATATCTGAATCCACTCCTTTCTTAAGCATATCCTCTTTCACACAATCCATCCATACTTTCTTTGGTCTTCCTCTTCCTTTGTAGCCATCCATTCATTCTTAACACTTTAAATAAAATACTTTTCCATCACTTTTAATAAATAATATTCTTATTACGTCTGATTTAACTATATATGAATGTTTTCCCGAACCAATTTATCGCTAATAATTCCTGTCTATAGATTGCCAATACTCTGCTATGAGGCGATATTAGTCCCGGGAGAACGTATAAATTGCGTACCAGACAAGGGGCGTAACCGCTTTTATTCCCGGCGAAACTATTTAGGTGAAAGATGGGTTTTATAAAAATTTCACGGAATATTTTTTTATGTAAAAAACAATAAAAAATCCAGGTATAGTATGAAAATGAGACTATTATCGTCAATTGTGTAACGGAATGGTATTTGTATACGGAAGAGGTGTTTAACTTGCTAAGACCTCTTTGTATGACCTTGGTTATTACCAAGTGGGACACAACGTAACTCTTTTTTATTAACTAGTCAATATAGTCCTTTCAGAGGTATTCTTAATAAGCAACTATGTGTACCTCTCTATCTATGTTAATGTCTATACATATTTCATATTATTCTAATTTCCACTGTGAAACATATACAAAAACATATTACCATTTCTCTCATTCTATTTTCAGTGTATGTATTTCGTCGGTGGAATTCTTCAACAAAGATCAGTACAGAACCCAAATAAGTATGTAGGGTTCTCAATCGATTTAGAATTTCCCTTAAAATACTTTTTTTTATAGTAGGTTAGTAAAGGTGGGAAACGAGCAGATAGCGGGATGCTTCTTGATCCGACGCCTATGAACATCCGCAATGCCAGAGGAACCCTAGATGCGTTGTCAGACTTAAGGGGTTTAAATGGGTATATCTAAGGTTTCAGTCGATCTAAAATTTTCTTAAAAAAGACTTCATACAATCTATGGATAGATAGCTGATCCAACACCGCAGTACAGTCGAGTAGGCACCTGCGTTTGATTGCACCCTACCTAAAGACCCATGGCACGGACCTCCGCACGCCACGCCGGCTAGCAAGCATGACCATTACAGACTTGTTACGACAGTGTAGTAAAAACAGTTGTTCCATTTCAAAATTAATTTAACTAGCTAACTATTCTAACGGAATGTTTAAGTTGACGGATTACAGTCGAGCATTATAATTATTTATCGTAATTGTTAATATAAACAAATATATTGAAAAGATAAATTAATAACACTTTCATGTTAAAAATATTTATGAATGATCTAGTAAACCGAATTTATATTTTCTATATATTACTGCGTGAAAAAATTACTTTAATATATTTACAGTTTCGTCTACTGAGTTGTAATACTCTGTGTCTTAATTGCAATCTTAGACATATTTATGTGACAAGCTAAATTCAATCATATTGCATTACAATACGTCTTAAAACAGCTACAATGGGTTTCCCCTAACAAATCGTGTCATAGTTTACCTGACAGAAGGTTGCGGAAGTCATTATTTATTTATGTTTTTGTTAAGGAACAAAAACAAGATAAATATATCTCAAGATATTTACTTATCTAAACTTTAAAGTCGAGAGAAAACAACGATTTTTAGTTTGAAATTACGAGATTATAAAGAGATTCTGTTAATGACAATAATCTACAAGTTGAGATTTATTACAAAAATTAGAATTTTGTTAATATGACAACAATTAGAAATAAAACTTACTGTCAGTTCGTAAATGAAGCAATTAAAGCATATTGGATAAAAGTAATGCAATCACAAACTAAAAATAGTAAACAAAAATACCAAGCAGATTCTCACACGGAATACAAAAACGAATTTATTTCAAAACGTTAGGGTTCCGCATTCCAATAACAAAACCTACTAAGACATATTTATTTTAAACTTCTATATAAATACACAAAGCACAACGAACAGATAAAACAAGAGTTAGTACGTAAACATTAATTTTTAAATATAAAAGCTGTTGCTCACAACTATGTTACTCAATGGTAATGTAGCTTTTTTATGGTGTAAGAATTTTTGAAATCGGGCGAGTAGTTTTTGAGTTATTTCAATACATACAAGAATCTTAAAGAAGAATCTTGTCTATTTATAATATTAGTATAGATGAATACATACTTTTTATATGCAAGCATAATGCGAGTAAAAGATTGCGAAGCTGTGAAATCAAAAGCATATACTTTCATAATCCTATAATATATTTATTTCCAGAGGCGGGCACGGTCCGACGGCCCGCCATAAACAAACGCCGGAAGCCATCCTTATAAATATACATAGCCGCGTTCACAGAAAGTAGCTCGCTATCTGCCCATAATAAATAAACTATTCAACTAACACCGCTGTGTTCGCTTTTAAACAAATATTTAGCGAACCTAACCGCATTTTACTATTCACGAAATGCCAGAAACAAAATGTACTCGGCCCTAAGTACCTAACTACGACAAAATACTTTCGATTTAGACATATAACTAGTTTAATATTTAATTCATTTAAAATATATATATTAAATACGTGATTTAACAGTATTCACAACAAAAAAGTTTACTCCAAAACACGTAATAATTTTAGTAGCCTCATGAACGACCTAAATAAAACAATAAAACAATACACAATCAAAATCTATCCGTTCTATTTTCCCGCGTATCTCTCGTCCTTGGACACAATCTGACAAACGCTGTCACTATGCACCGTATCTGACGGAAACGGAAGGACAGCTTGACACAATCGGCGCCATGTTGAATCACAATGACATTCCATTGCCACTGATAAGTAGATTGGTACGTTTGGCCGTTATACTTTGTAGCTATAGACATTTAAGAAATATAGACTAGACATGTGAACAACGTTTTTCAACCGGTACCTTCTTTGAAAGGTATCATGTTAGTTGTCAAGTTTATACCACCATATCCTTGTATTGTTATGTAATAAACATTTCACAAAATTATAATAAGCTTCATCTTTTGTTATAAAATAAACTAATAAACCACAAAGTGAAATGTAGACATTTAAATATTATTTAGTGTCACTAGTCTCGTAAAGTGTCAACTATGCTACCTCTATATGTTATTTGAATCTCTTTGTAGCCTACATTTGACTTTTTTAGGGTGAGTTACCTCGTCTGCGGGCTTTGTAGGAGTGATGGCTACTGTCTCGTTGAAGCAGAGGCAGGCGCAGTAGTGCCTGTTTGCATCCACGTCTGTCAGCACCGACACATAGAAGCGCGGTTCCGACCGCTCCGTTGAGAGCGACCATCCTTGCGGCTGGCAGAACTGTACACGAACAAATACAACTTAGAAATGAAATAGGTGAAAGTTTTGAACGTCTATTTGCGACTTAAGTAGTTTAGATAGAGTTTTCATACTTTTAAACAATTAACATAATTGTAACTAGCGATATTAATTTAAACACTGAATCAGCGGTCCCGCCAGGAATGCGCGCGAATATCAATCCTTCAAATGACATTGACAGCTGTCATTTAGAGATGTGACGTACATGCCAATAATCTAGTGTTGTGCTACTTCTACAGTGCGGTACTAATTTTCTTCTTTTAGTACATATTTCAGTTTCTTTAGTAAAAAAAGTTACGGGGTGTTTAAGGAACTTCTTCAGCTATAAGATATTAATGGTCGATTGAGGAATATTTATTGATGCTTACCCATTCAATGCCCTCGTGAAATGGTGTGTCGTCCCAATTTGTTTCAGGGAATCGCTGGAGGATGACGCCGTTACTATGTCCGCCCCCTGTGACATAACATACACTGTTATTACTGCATGTTTCCATTATCAACACACTTGTATAAAAACATATAGCCACCCTTCTCATTAATATTGAAAAAATAGAGACAACAAATTTTAGTAAAAATATTTATGCAGTGAAATTTCACGGTTAAATTATTAAAATTAAAAATAGTATAAGTGTGAAAAAATTCCTTAAAATTCAAACTTATACGGAAAAGGTTTGCCTCCACTCTGGGTTGTAGGCAGGTCAAGGCCGTAATACTCTATCGTAAGCGCCAAGCGAAAATAATCTTGCTACGTACTGAAAATACCGTATTTACGGTACATTTTTAAATATCAAATAATTTTAGTTGTTATGCATTTCAGAACTACTTGAAAGCTTTACCTACACAATTAAATTTAAAACAAAAATGGGAGTTCAAGGTTTTTTTTAAATTAATAAACACCTGAATAAGTGTCTCTCCATATAATAGACTAGCTGTTCCTTGCTACATCGCCCGCGTTAAATCAAAAGAAAATAAAAAAAAAAACATAGCCTATGTGACTGATAACGTAGCTTTTTAATGGTTAAAGAATTTACGAAATCGGTCCAGCAGTTTTAGAGTTATTTCAATACTTACAAAAATACAAATCTTTCCTCTTTATAATATTAGTATAGATAATAGATTAATCAGGAAGTAGAAAGTTTAAAAAACATCAGGGTGATTGAGTATTTTTATTTAATTATTAAATCAATGGATATTTACAAACATTTAATGAGAATCTGAATATAATAAGGAAGAAGTTATTAATACTCCAATACAATCTTTCCTGTTTATAATTGTACAATAATTCTAATAGACTAGCCTTACAAATATACACGGTATAAAGTTAAACTTAGGAATAAACTGAGTACAAGCAGATAGTAGGAACTTATTAATCGTCGAATAGTGGGCAAAGAACAAATCCAACATGTCAGGATTACCACTTGACTTTGCTTCAGAAGCCACATCTTTCTTAGGCGGTTTTGTGCTAAAGTACGTTTACGAAACAAAGCCGGTAGATCGTGTACGGTAGGATAACCCATTTTAACAGATTTTCCGACTTTTGAATTGGATTTCAGAATAGCACCGCGCTTAGTACGATACGCCGCCATAGTAAAAGATAATACGAAAATAAGCAAAACGTAAGATTCGAAAAATTTGCTTATACTTAGTTTATTTCTAATTTTAACTTTATACCGATTTTTTAAGTTTTTTAACTTTTAAATGCGAAAGATTAGATGTATGGATGGATAGATGTTTGTTAGAGTTTGGTTAAGATGGATGTTTGTCTACAACTTTTGTTTTTTTCAATTCCACGCAAACGGAGTCGTGGGCGAGAGCTAGTTCGAAAAATTTATCGAAATATGTAACTTATAATGATCAATTTAACACATATAGGAAAAACTTTTAACTTTTATACAATTCTTTTAATTAATAACAATACAAATATTATTATCTCCTTTTTGCTAGAAACATAAAAAGAACGACAATATAGATTTACGTATTTCGCCAGTGAAAACCCACGGTTATATCTACGTCCGCATCTCATCTCGACTTACTAAAGGCTCTTATGTTGAAAGGATAATTACAACTTTTCTTAGGCTACAAACTCAAGCAAAGCTTCAGGCTCCATTTTACCAACGACTGTTTACATAGTTTTATACAGAGGTTTAAACGACTTTCTTGGAACGTCCTACAATGACAGTAAGAACTATTTTTTTCTTCGAATTTTAAATAATAGTATTCAATGTTCAATCGCCAAGTCAATACGATAACTTAACTTGGGTAAATATATTTCACATAAATATTATAGATAGAGCAATTAAAAAGGCTTTGATTTAACTAATCACTAGCTTTAGCCCGCGACTCGCCTGCTTGAAATAAAAACAATAGTAAGTAGAATATGTATCCGTTCAGACTATGATATATTAGAATATAGATTTAGAAATCTATGGCAAATTTCATCGTGATCCGTTCAGTAGTTTAGGTAGGAAACTCCGACTAAACTTTCGATTTATAATATTAGTAAGATACATGGATAACTGTACAAGCCATAGTATGACTAGCTTTCACCCGCGACTCCGTCCGCGTGGTTTTAAAAAACAACAAAAGCAATTAGCCTATGTTTCTTTTCAGACTATCAACTACATCTATTGCAAATTTCATCTAAATACATTCAGCCGTTTAGGCTACAAACTCTTACAAACATCCATCCATCTAAACTTTCGCATTTATAATATTAGTATGAAGTATGATAATACACATCGATAATAAAGCTATCACGTGGTAAATCGTAATCCATTGTAACAATTATCTTATCACTACATCGATGTAATTACAGTAAATAAATATTTACATTGTACAACGATGACGCATAACCAAAACATTTTATTTCTTTGTTGAATATCATTTAGCGATTATACCTTTAGATAATATTGTAGGCCTAATCTTAATTATGATTAGGAATACTCTGTCTACATTATTCGTTATAAGCAACACTAAAAATATTATTGACAACCCTACTTAACTACATTATTTCTTTTTATATTGTAAGGTGGCAAATGAGCAAGCGGCCACATGAATCTACCAAAATAGGGAAGCGACTGCTGCCCATAGACATTCGTAATAGCGGATGCGTTGCCTAACCAGATTCGCCTCCGTCGATTAGACGCACAGAAAGAGGACATTTTCTCTTCCTACACCGCTCCTCCGTCGTCAAAATCACGCTCTCTTTCCATCCTATTCTTATGAGAAAAGGGGTGGGTAACAAAAGGAACTAAAGTTAGGGCAAATATGTGAATTGGCATAAATTTAGAATCCATTATAATCGTTCATTTAAATACATCCTATTCTTTTGCGCACATACAAGTCCGAAAATATTAATTACCCTATTCACAACATTATTACGTTTTAAACAAATACTGTCTGTAATATGTAAAAAAAAAACTATTTTCGTCAGTCTGCGGCTAAAATACGTTACTATATTTAATCTGTACCTAGAGATCACTCGTCCATAAGCCCTTGTCTCCAGACCTCATTACATATGCCACGATGAAGCACCAAACAGCGCGCCTGCATAAAACTTTCGCATCACGTACTACACGAAATTCCTACAACCGACGAGTTACTCTATGACCTTATTGTCATAGAGTAGTTAATTAAAACCGCTAGTGCATTATTTTTAGTGAATGTATTGAAATAACTCAAAAACAAATGTACCGATTTAAAAAATTCTTGCACCATTGAAAAGCTACGTAACCACTAAGTAAGATAGGCAAGTCTTTACTTTTCTTAATTTCAAGCCGATAAAGTCGCAAGCAACGGCTAGTCTGTAATATAAGACTCACAGTCATTTAAAGATTACTTTGCGACTCTAAAAGCCTCCTTGAGCACATTAACAATCGGTCCATACATGATTCTTACAACTGTATGAACTCCACATAAATACTCTAGACTTTTACAACTTTTGCAATCTCGTAGTTTCCTACGTTCATAAAGTTTCGGCACAATAGGCCTTCGCTGGTACATCTTGTACAATGTCTCTTTTGTGGCAAAGTTACCAGAGCTGGCATAGGGATGTTTTATGAAGGCTCAGTCAACTTCGTACAATATGCTGGCTATAACATATGCTCGTTCACAAACTTTTATATTTCCACATAAAGATGGCTCTAACTGACTATCGTAAGCCACTATTTAGCACACACTACACAATCTATACTAATATTATAAAGAGGAAAACTTTGTTTCTTTGATTGTAATGAAATAACTCAAAAACTACTGGGCCGATTTCAAAAATTCTTTCACCATTAAAAAGTTACGTTGACAGTGAGTAACATAGGCTATGTTTTATATTATTTTTTAATAGTAGTTAGTTTATAAATAACTAGCTTTCGCCCGCGACTCCGTCCACGTGAAATTAAAGAAAACAAAAGTGAGTAGCCTACGAGTTGTTCGAGACTATCGTATACATATATGCCAAATTTCACCGAGATCCATTTAGCAGTTAAGGCTACAAACTCTAACAAACATCCATCTAAACTTTCGCATTTACAATATTAGTAAGATTATAATATTAGTAAGATAAATACTATTTCGTGTCTAAATTACAATTTACGTTAAATAGAACTGTTGATTTTGTTTGTAAAAGTTTTGCCTCAACACCTAACCTAACCTAGTAAGAGATGGATGGATGAAAGGTGACGTGATCAAGAAGGGAGTGATGACTGTGATGACGGTGATAAAGTTATTTGGAGGACGAAAACCCGGTTCCTGGCCCTATAAGAGCTGGTTAAGGTAGGAGAATTGATAAGTTCTAAGTTTTGGCTACCAAAAACATTTTAAACATAGTTGAGCTAGCGCATAACATACTTCGACCGCGTCTTCACTTAATCAGTTTAGGTGGAATAGTGATCGAGTGCTGGTTTATTTATGATAAAAAAACGATAATTTATGTAGGAGCCATCGATATGGAAATCGATTAAAAACCTAAAACGACTAATCTATGCTGCGCAGTTAATCGTATAAACAGTGCACCAGTCTAGGAACATTATAGGTGCGTGGTAGAAGATAGAAGGTCGTCTAGTAAACTATGCAAGTTTCAGCCTAACAGGTCGCCAGTTCGGTGATTGTTAGCTAACGGCGCCTTGCAAACCGGATTTCATCTATTATTTATTGTGTTCATTGGTTAGAACTAGTTCACTAATACTTGAGGTAGCAGGTTACAATTCAATGTCGGGGAATTAAACGGATTTCCACTGGTACAACTCATTATCTATCAAAAAAATGTGGTAACAATATATCTTAGTATAAGGGTGAAAGCCCAATCTTATTTCTGACTAATATTATAAATGTTAAAGTTTACATTGATGTTTATTTTTCTTAACTTTAAAACGCCTGGATGTTTTTTAAAAGAAATTTGGTATAAGTGTAGAACAGTCTGGAAGGATACATAGGGTACTGGATAAATTATTTTTTAATTCCAAGCGAACGGATTAGCGGGCGATAGTTAGTCTAATTATATGTATAAAAATTGTAAATACTATTTCTACTAATCGTCTTTTCTGCAATATTGTCATCGTTAACAATATCTCCTTCAATATATCACGAAATAGACTAGCTTTCGCCCGCGACTCCGCCCGCGTGATATTAAAAAAAAAGTAGTAAGTAAGTAAGTAACCTATGCGATTTTGTTTGCCCTACATCAGCCGTTCAGCCGTTTAGGCCGCAAACAAATATCCATTCATACTTCTCACTCTTTACCTAAGGGATATCCTAAATTCTAGTTTAAAATGCTAATGAACGAATTTTAAAGTGCTAACGAGTCTTAGGTTTCCTAATCTCTCACAATACAACAAAATTATTCACTGACATCATATGTTTACGTCATTCGGTCATTCATAGCGGAACTCAGAACTGAATGTAGGATTCGTTTCGGACATTGTGATTAATGCGTTTTTTTTAACAGTACACGAATATTCACAAATGATTCAAAGATTTATTTAGTCACGAATAGATATTACCAAGTAAGAGTAAGAACGAAATCTCTAAATTAACATTTAATTACGATATTCAAATATTTTATATCCGACAGACAAGAGCGTAATATTTATCTATAATAATATTATAAAGAGGAAAACTTTGTTTATTCGTATGTATTTGATTCGCGCAAAAACTATTGGGTCGATTCTAAACATTTACCATTAGAAAGGTAATTTACCTGTGAGTAATAGGCTATATTTGATTATTACCAAATGCAAATCATCAACTTGCCCTTATCCCTTATGGAGGGTCGACACAGTATGTGCTGCTCTTCCAGACATCTCTATCAGCCGTCATATCTGAATCCACTGCTTTCTTAAGCATATTCTCTTTCACACAATCCATCCATACTTTCTTCGGTCTACCTCTACCTTTGTAGCCATCCACATACATTCTTAACACTTTCTGGTTTATGTCCCCATGGTCTCGTCGCATAACATGTCCATACCACGCAAACCTTTTGAGATTGTCTTATTAGCAAACCTATATCCCTTTCAGTGCATACCAGAACTGCACAAGGCTACACTCTGGTTATTGCTTTTTAGAATTTTAAAGTACAGGCAAATTATCTGCACAGTAACAGAAAAACAATGCTATTTCAGTCGACGTTTTAATAAATTTGAAGGGTCTGAGACAATTATTTGGAGCGTACTCGGTCGACCTAGTTGCGCTACGCCTCGGGCGCGACCCGGTAATGAGTGTGGCTGTGAGGGTACGCTTTAAACGCATTATAATTGAGACAACTCAGAATATTCCGTAATATAGCAGTTTTTTTAACTCGTAAAAACAAAGCCAAGAAAAATGCACATTTTACACATGTCAAATACGGCAATATTAGTGGTTATGTAAGGAAAGCTAACATTATTATCGTATGGTCAGTCACACAAAACGCAAAGAATAGTGAAATTTCCCGTTGAGCGGATCGTTCCAGTGGTTGCTAAATTATAATTTTGATCGTCATAAAACCAATGTATTATAATGCAGGAAAGTTTTGTGTTTACACAACCAGAAATACGTAGCAGACTTCGATAACTAGTTTATTATCCAATCAGGTTTCGATCAGAACAGTTTATCTGTGGGAGAGCGTCTGTACCGGAATCGCAGGTTTTCTAGAAAATTTCTCGTCTAGACCTTCAAGAATAAATTTATTTTTATATTGATATTTAAACAACTAATATGATACTAAAAAATGTTTTTAACGCCTTTAAAGCAAAATCTTCTGACATTGACAGAAACCATTGATTTTAGAGTTTTAGTTACCCCTTTGGTACTTGGTAGACGAAAAGACAATTCCATGACCAGTACCTTGTCAGTCCTTTTTGTCACCTCTTGGGACATAAGGTCAGAGTAAAGATTGGTATTCTTTTTTTTAAACAAAAAAACATACGTATTTAATATTTATTTAAAAATACATACGTATTGAAATAACTCAAAAACTACTGGACCGATTTCAAAAAAATTTTAACGTTAAAATGCTACGTTATCAGTAAGTAAGCTATATTTTTTAATTTCACGCAGACGAAGTCGCCATAAACAGCTAGTAAATAATAATTCGGCTATTATATATTCATTCAGACGGAAATATTAATTTTCCTTAAGTTAGGACCATTACAAAAGTTTTAATTACATGCATCACGTGTTGTTGGTATTAAAAGTAGACGCGCGTGCCGGTGAAAATAGTCCGGCCACGAAGTTGACGGTCGGCACGTGTTGGAAAGGCTTAGGTTGCCATCAACTCGTAAATTAGTCACCTTATTTTTTTTATACAAGAAGGTGGTAAACAAAAGGTGACAATGAAATAAGAGAAATAACTGCCCATCTGCTTAAGTTGAAAGATACCATAGACATCGCCTACCAGACAGAGGAGACATAGAGGAGTGGACATACAGGAAAAATATATTTCCTATACCTCTTCTAACCCTTTAAATCTACTATTATTAAAAAGGGTAGGAAATGTACAAAAGCATTTGTTATATAGTTGCATTTAATTGGCTCCGATACACATGGACCGATTTAAAAAATTCTTTTAATATAAGAAAACTACATTAACATTGAGTAATACAGGTTATATAATAAACATAACATTAATGGAAATGTATTGGATATAACAGAAAATATGTGAGGTACAGTCTTCGCTAGACATCACTGGCCAGTAATAAATTCACATATATTGGTTAAGAACAGCAAGATGAAATGCCTACAAGTCAATAGACATTCTGTATTCAATCAATGATATCAACGGAGAACTAACAACATGCGATGTGATTCAAGGCCAGTTAAATCATACAGTAATTTATAGAGTCACTAAATTGATATGCAGAAAACGAATGTATAAAATTTTCACACTTAAATGCAATGCCATTTATGGTCTGTAAAAAAAATCCAAAAAACTTTTATAAATTTTAATCTGAATTATAACTTTTTGTTTGTATAATGTTATTTCATGATGTTTTTAATTTGCCATAAATGCTTGATATATTTAGTAAATATAAAGTTGTGTAATAGTCGTAATTTTTAAGTAAATAGGGTTTAGTTTATTGAACAAAGTTTAGGACTTGAGACATAAGCCCACAATGTTTGACAACCAATTTGGATTTCAGTAGGAGTAGGGTATTACAGTATTTTAAAACGTATTTGTAATATTTTAAAATAAACACTTTATTAAAACAAAGTTAGTGTAATTCTTGTTATGTATAAGTAAAATTTGATCTGTCTCGAAGTTTTGTTATCCGTAGAATCAAATAAGAATGAAAAAAAAATTACAACATAGAAAATCGTATCTTACTTTCTTTTTCGTGGTCAAAGCCCACAATGACGAAGTAATCAACGAGCCTGGACATTGCAATCCTACGGCAGCATCCAACAACGATCACCACAAAAACACTTTGTAATTTTACGTTTACACCAAATCACACACATTTTATTTCCTCACATATTATAGGGCCGTTTTGCTAACGATCCGCACCACATCACTAACACACGATACACTGTTAGGAATGTAAACACTTTCTTTTATCGTCAACGAACGAATTCAATCGACAATTACAAGAATTAAAATGATAGCCCAGATCAAGAGGTTATAACTCAAACACATATAACTATAACATGTCAAACTAAAACATTTGCCTTCTAAATTTTGAATACTTTTAATTTATATCATGCAATTAGAATAAAATCTAGCATAAATATTGAATTAATCGTCATAAAACTTAATAAATAGACAGAAGTCGTTCCTCGTCATCAAAGTCTTCAACAAAAACTACAGTCCTACCAAAATTCCCAAAGAAAGCCAAATTTAAAAAGATGTTGCCATCGGAACCAACAATTATTACCATTAAATAAATTCACAAACAATGGCGCCATATTATAAAGAAAAGGTTGACCCCTGCGATTATTAGTAATGTGGATAACTTGGACGCGTAATTTTTGGTAATCGATTGATAAGAAAAAATTATGAAAGGGAAGATTACACCTTTAGAACATTAATTTTTAAATCAACGCCACAAAAGCGAATAATCTGTCACTTCTTAAAATTACCTGTGGCTACTTTAGTGACGAAAATTTAGAGAAAAGTCCATAATAGTTGTTAGTTGTGTGTTATACAATATTAAATAAGATAAATAATTGGGTGCGCTAGAAAAGATCGTTAAAATCGAGGATTCTACTAAAACAGCAAAAAATGTTTGTTTTGGCAACATTTCACAAAATAACCTTGCAATATTCAAATGATCTCAAAAAATAATTGCGAATTAGTTGTCTCTTTCTTGCTAGTTTAGAAACACTTATAAAATAGAACGATACCGTTATTAGGCGTGTTTATTATAGGCATCGTAAGATAAATATGTTTTAGTCGGTTTATATGGGAGTACAAATAAAATGTCAAAATAAATATTGATGTTTTATTTTTGAAGAAAGTTAAACATTTTTGTATTTCTTTAAGTACCGAAGCATGACGGGTTCAAGCAATGATCATAATATAGCTGGACTAAAGCAAAAAAAAGTTTTTAAAATAATTGTTTTAGGCGATTCTGGCGTTGGGAAGACGTGTCTTACATACCGCTTCTGCGAAGGTCAATTTCTTGATAAATCTGAAGCCACGATCGGCGTTGATTTCAGAGAAAGGACTGTACGAATATGTAACGAAGATATAAAGGTAACAACATATACAATACCGTAATATTCAAGTTAATTATAAATCACTTAATGCTTGAATTCATTTTAAAAACAGCTGATGCATGTACACATTTAAAGTTTGTTAGAGTATTCAGTAGTTACTTAAAAGCCAAAGTAGATAAATAATAGTATATAATATAATAATAAGTTCTTCTCATCCTTGTTTTAGCTCCAGCTGTGGGATACGGCAGGACAGGAGCGATTCCGCAAGTCAATGGTGCAGCATTACTATAGAAATGTGCATGCTGTTGTCATTGTTTATGATGTCACCAAGCCGGAGACATTCCATGTTAGTGACATTATGTATAACTTCATGATATCCCTGTCCCTATCCCAATAAAAACTACAACAGGAAGTTATCCTCCTCCAAATCGATCTATCCTGTCACCCTTCACACAAACCATCCCATCTTCCTAAGCCTTTTGTTTAATTTTTGCATTATCTTACTAATAAAACTAATGTAAAACCTTAGTAGGATAGATATTTGTTAGTTTGTACCCTAAACCGATGAATGGACCTCAATGACATTTGGCATAGACCTAGGGGATAGTTTGGAGTAACACATAGGCTACTCATCTTTGTTTTTTTTTTAATTCTATGCAGACAGTTGCGGGTGAAAGCCAGTTATCGATAAAACCACTGTTATTGACACAGGTTTCTCTCAGAAACACTACAGTCTTTATCTAATATGAATGAAAATGAAATTTGACTGCTTTTCTTTATGGATTTAATTAATTTTAATGATTAATCTATGTTATTCATTTTAAGGCCAATAGTTTGGTTAATTATAGCTTTGTGTTGCAGTCAATAGCAAGCTGGATGCAGGAGGTGGAGTCCCACGGGCTTACTGGTGCACCAAGAGTGCTCGTCGGCAACAAATGTGACTGCGGCACACCGGAGTCTCGCCTCGCGACCACATATGCACAGCGACTAGCGGACAAGCATGGAATGCCTGTGAGTATTTTGTTGCAAGATTGCAAGATCTTCATGGATGAAGTAGATTTATTTTGATGAAATCTCCATTATGCATATATGCATATTTATATTAGACATTGTAGTACAATTTAGTTTGTAGTCAACTTTATGTACTACCAGCTTTTGCCCATTACTTAAATTAAATTTGAATTAACATATAATTGCGTAGAATTAAAAAAAAAAACAAAAGTGGCCTATGAGTTCTTCCAGAGTATTTTCTACATCTATGTCAAATTTCATTGAGATCTGTTCACCAGTTTAGGCCACAAACCCTAACAAATATCTATCCAATTATCTAAACTTTCTCATTTATCTATATCTATACTACTATTACTATTAGAGGAAAGATTTGTGTTTTTGTATGTATTGAAATAACTCAAAAACTACTGAGTCAATTTTAAAAATTCTCTCACTGTTAGAAAGGTAATTTATCTATGAGTAACATAGGCTGTGTTTTTTTTATTTTTAATTTACCACAGATGAAGTCATGAGCAACATCTCTATAATATAGATTAAGAAACAAGATTGTATTGTAATATAATTGTCTTCCAGTTGTTTGAGACGTCAGCTCTACTGGACAGTGAGTGTGACAATGTGGAGTCAATCTTTATGACACTCGCACACAAGCTGTACTCCAAGCAGCCGCTCAGGGTCGTCAGAGTTGAGGTAGGAGTACATTTTTAACTGTCATTTTAACACAAGCATCTCTAGTTTTGGCCTATTTTTATCTCTTTTATTGAATTCCCGATGTTTTAAATTGGTGTTTTCAACTATGGAAAATAAAACCTTCTACAAAGTCTTGGTTTTAACTGAACATTTAAAGTGATAGTTAAAATTGTAGAAACTGATTTCACTTCATATTGTAATATGGGTATCAAATTAAATTCCTTGACCGACCGATTTTAAACCAAAGGCAATAAATCAAAGAAAAGAAAAATCAATAGTTATAAGTTTTTTGTGTTTCTACTAAATTGTACTATCTGTATAATTTCCAGGGTGAACCAGGGTATGGTGTGGTCACCCTGCCACGCCAAAGGAAACCTCCTGTCCATACCGGCACCGACAACTGCCTCTGCAGCTAGGACCATGCAAGGACCAGATTAGGACCACGCCCAGATTATACTAAGACCGTATGGTCTCTTGTATGGATTACCAAGCTCTCTAACTGTCCGAAATGTTGCCAAATTAATAATATTAAGAAGTAAATTATAAGGATAAGTTTATTTTAGGTTAATTTATATCAAAAATAGTATAAACATCCAGTAATTGACATTTCTTTCAGTTATTAATACATTTAAAGTGGCAGAGATTTTTCTATTCTGTTCCTGTGGTACCAGGTGTTGCAAACCTGGAGATAAAACTGTCATTATAGCTGTATTGGGCTTGTTAAACCTTGTATGGTTTCAGAAAGTCAAATCCTGTTTTTACTATGTACAACTTTTTTATTATTTTTTTGTCTTGATTATCATAAATAATGAATTAATTGACATGAATCTGAATACGTAAATAGCCTGTTTAGTATTGATTGCAAGGACGGGTCCAGCATTGGCCCCCGGAGGGTGTCACATAGTTGTTGTCAAGTCAAGAGCTTGACAACATATGTAAATATATTTTGTCAAGCTCTTGGCCAACCAGCTCAGATTTGAGGGGGCCATGACCCCAATGCCCCCCCCCCGAGTCCACTGTTGATTTATTTTATAGCAATGGTTTTATATACCTGGTGCAGCACTGAATAAGGTTTTTGTTCATATTGAAGGTATCTAAAATAAAACTATCGATGGTTTTATATAAGTTTTATTGAAAAAAAACATTTACAGTCCAAACAAAAGATTTTCTTACACAAAACACATTCTGTAAATTTTTTTTTAACTTTTCTGTCTGCTTTGCCGCTTGTTAAGAAGGTTTTTTTCATAGCATCTGATACAATTTTATTTTCTTTAAAACTTTTACCTAATGATGTCTGTTAGATTTCATTACCAGTTCTGAAAAAGATAAGTTTATTATTAAAAATATTGTTTGGTATGGTGTGAGTTAAGTTTGTTATTTACAGTCAGCAAAAACTGAAAATATGTTGTACCAGATGTTTTAGAACTAGTTTCGTATTCCACATCTTAAATTAAGTCGAGTTTAAATTTATTAGAAGAAAAATTTTGTTCAAAGAAATTAACATAAAATGGTAAAAAATCAGGCAGCTTAATACAAAGTCCAACTTAAAGAGCTTAACCTCATTACACTTGAACTTTAAACTTTAACAGGCTTAAAAAAAAACGCGATATCAAGTTAAATTTAGGAATCAACTAAGTATAAACAAAATTTGTACTAATATTTGCTTATACTTGGTTTATTCCTAAGTTTAACTTTGTACCGCGTTTATTTATAAGGCTATAAGTGATTAGTAGATTATAATTAGTAAGTAAAATAAGCTATTTATTCTTTAGTAAGATATTTAATTTTTTTAAATCAATAAGTTTGACTTTAAGAATTTACATTCCCGATGTTTATATTAGAAAATAGTGAATGTGGTGTAACAAATATATTTTTTTTTAATAAAAAAAACAATCCAATAAGTTTTATGTCATATTTATAGACTGATTATGTTAAATAAAAATGCAATAACGTTTAGTTTTAGAATTGTAACACTTTTTAATGAAAATGTTGAATAACATTGTTTTAACCAAGTATTTTAAACCATACAAATTATAACACGGCTAAACTCACGTGATAACATTCGGTGTAGGCACCGACAGTTTCGAACCCGTTTGGGGTCCTTCTAACCGTGTTATAATTTAAATAGTATATGTCTCACGAAAGTTTTAAGTTATTTTAAACCAGTTAAAAAAAATTATATAGAAAAAAAAACATTTATTATTTGATATTTTTTTTGTCAAAATGGTAAAAATCACAAAAACAATACATTGGTGGATGTAATTAAATAATAAAATTATTTATTTGTAATATTAAGATAGATGTGAACGCAATATGTAATTTATATTTAAGAGATAATAAAGCCAATGAGATGAAATATAAATATTGTTACTCAAAACTGTATTTTATTTTGAAAATCAAAACTTCTGTCTCACAAAAAAATTATCGAATAGTAATTTGCACACAACCTATCCTTACTTAAGTGTCATAATAATCATCTTTATGTAGAACGGGCGCTTTGACACAACTGTTGTGCGATTGTCGATTGTTTCGCAGTTAATTCAACTGCGCACAACTAATAATCGAGTAGTGTGCGTACTTCCATATTAGCTCATAGGAACCAAACCACCCTAAGCAGTTGTGCGATAGTGACAAAGTTTAGCCAAAGGTGTACGCGCGGTCTTAGACAAACTATGATCACTCAATACCACTATCTCGGTTGAAATTCATTGTTGTACAATATTGCTATCTCTCTCATTCTCTTTGAGGAAAACATAGATGTCGCCACTTGTATCTTATGGTCCAAAAGATTTTGTTATGAACTGAGGAGAGTTTCTAACTCTTGATATATTAAATAGAATAAGTCGATGAAAAAAATTATTCTTTCATTCTGATATGAAAATGTTATATTTTGATGATAATGTTTTGACATGATTACAGCTATTTTCCAAACTTTCGCAACGACTCCGTGGCGCAACGGTAGCGCGTCTGACTCCAGATCAGAAGGTTGCGTGTTCAAATCACGTCGGGGTCAAAACTAACTTTTTCTCTTTTTTTTTTTTCACTTTAGTGTTCAAAATTACAATAAAAGTGATTCATATTAAAAAAATAGAAACATTATAGTATTTTTTAAAATAAGTGGAAAATGTATTTTAAATAAAACAACCATATTAATTTCGGTAACATTTATTTATTAATAGTAAGATAAAAATCACTTGAAGCATTAGAAACGCAAATATAACAATGTTGTAAGCACATTTAATATAGCATTATCTGAAAAACATCGCAAATATTAAACACTGCAGCAATCATAAATATTTCTAACTTATTTATACTATTTTACACAAATTGTGCTACGAAAGTTACTAATAGTACAACCAATAATACAAAAATCCTAGCCTGAAGGCGTTTCAATCTGCTTTTACCATTTTAATTTAAAAGAAATTGGTTTCATATTTATCCGTAACATGGCGAGAATTTTTATATTCCTGGTCATCGATTAAATTAAGGAAGAATTAGTTGCTAGAGCCATCTATTGATAGAAATATGAAACGGAAATTGAAAGGCCGGAAGTTGTAAGTTGATAGAGTAAATATATTGTACTCATTATCTAAAACAAACATTTATTATTAAATACTTTGTAAACATCAAGAATATATACCATTCGTCGCTTACTTCAGAAACATCGAGAAAATAACATCAGATGGCGTTTACCATTTAAGGGAAATTCAAAACACAAAGTTGACTAAATAAAAAATCAAATGAGTTTCTTTTAAATGAATAAATTAAAAATAATTTATCTCATCCGGTTATTTAACCCAGAGATCCAAAGCATACACAAACATTTGATTCTATACCCTTTATATCTAACAGTACTTATTAAATAACTAAAATTAAGACAAAAAAAAAACAAACAATATCCAAACTCAAGCATAAACATACTTTATTAATAAAAAGCTGCCTCCGCTAAACTTGCATACAGTTTTCTAATACTGCAACAGTATTGCAAATCAAAACAAGACCTTAACACTAGAAAAATCACAATCTAGTCACATTTAGATGTTAAAATGCTGCTAATTATCAAAAACAATTGTTAACTTCGTCATTTTAAAAACTGGCAATAATTTATAAGCTGTCGTAATTTCCGGTACAGTAAGACTATAAACTGACAAAGTTCACAATTTAACATATCTTAATTACAAGTAGAAATCAGGCATATCTTACAATCTGTTACAATAAAATATTATAATGTTACTCTATCCCAATAGTGATGGAAAGGGATAGAAAACAAGGTTTTTGTATCTCAGACAAGATGTTATGTCATTTAATCTCAATAAACTGTAGATATTATCTACTAAAATGTGCGGCTTACACTTGGCCAGTACAGGTAGCACTCACTGGTCAGTCAATCAACTGGCACAGTGTGAAAGCTAACTGGTACCAGTGAGAATACAATCTATGACTGGCTATTGCAACTAGCCAAGTTTGAACCGAAAAACTTGTATAGTTAAATTCAATTAAAATGAGAAATTATTTATTTGAGAAATTTTACTAAAGTTGTAATCACAGTCTTTATGAAAACAGACATATTTGTATACCGAAATACTCCAAAACTAATCCATAGACAATAAAGGATTTTGTTAGTTAACGAAAGTAAATACAGACAAATAAGTATCACAGTTATCAAATAATAAATCAAAAATGGCTGCATTATTTGTACAGTATGCAAAGCATTATGTGACACTTAAATGACAGGGTGGCGCTACTGTGTCAACTTTGAATTATGCACATTGCATCTAATGTATGGACATTTCTCACTTTAATTTAATTCAACTATACAATATCTCTTTCATTAACTTTAAACAGAGACATGTCAAATAGAAAAATGTAATTTTTCAAAATTTGCGAAAAAAAAAATTATTACTAAAAAAGCTATTAACAATATTTTTAAGGTAAAAAAGCTTAGCGTGAAGCTTCACGTTTAAAGTCTTAGTGACTTTTATCCATATAAAAATATTGTTAACAGTAAGCTCTTTTTAGTAATAATCTGGTTTTCGGTAAATTTTGAAAAATGTCATTTTTTGTCAATGGACGATGTGAAATCTCTTAGCTGTCGAAACATTAACAATGACATATTCCGAAGCCTGGACAGCCATCGCTTGGCTCAAAAGCTATCGCGACTTCTAACCTTAAAAGTAAACATTTACAAATAAACGCGGTAAAAAGTTAAACTTAGGAATAAAATGTGTACTACAGTGTGTCTAAATAAAATAGATTAGTTTGATAAATGATGCATATGAAGTATCGAATTCAATTTGTATGCAGGCAAATACCGTACTTAATAGACAGATATCGTAGTGACGAAACACGCAGCGAACAATTTTGAACTATCGATATTCGGTTTAAATAATTATCGAACTCAACTAAAATTATTATTTTCTTATTCACTAATTTAGAGGACTATTCTAGTATTGATTATAGAGTAGAGAATTTAGCGATGACAGAAATAATAGCGAAATCCAATTCGATTACGTACAGCTGTAGTAGTAATAAACTTATTACTCTCATTATTTGTTATGGTCATTATTAATTTGAGAAAACAGTGTTTTTTTTTATTCATAAATTATAACTATAAATTTATAGATTACAACTTCTATAAGAATAAAAATCGATAAGATTCATGACTGATTTTACACAACCCATCCCTACTAAATTTGAAATGAATTGTCAAACTAAAATAAATTATTTAGACAAACTATAATATTTGCTTATATTCCTTAGTTTAACTTTATACCGCGTTTATTTGTAAGGGTGTTATTGTACGTACATTGAACAAACATATCGTTGTGCTCCTATGAGATCGCATTGCCGAAACATTCACATCCAACATGTGTGCAGTCAGAAATTTATCTTCAACCCTGGTGACACATTGAAACAACGCTATTAGGTCGTAAACTTGTAATTTATTACTTTACTTTTATAGATATTTTGCTGCAGAATATGATTGTAAGTGGTAAGTGAGTTTATTTCTCTGATAATAACATTTATGTGAACATTTTGGCACAACAAACTTATAGTAAGGTCCTCCACCCTCTAAATAAGGACCATAAATTCAAACAACGATTATTTTTACCCTAGAATTAGTTTAAATTGTATGGATATTACTAATTAATCACACAGGTCGAATTTGACCATTCAATGGACATTAAAGGGTTAAGTGTCATGATATTAAATGGACTAACACACTCAATGCCACAGACGCAAATTGCGAGTTTAGATAACACTTGTGTAGCATTGAAAGTGTTATTTGATATATATTACTTTAATACAAATCTTAATCTATACAGAAATTCAGAATATTAAATAGTTTTAATGTGTTAAGATTATTAACTTTAAGAGCCTGTCCCACCACTGGCTGATAGAGGCTCAGATAGATTTAAAATGACGTCACTGAAGGGAACAAAATCCGATACTCCCGTCTCATATTTTACACATTGGATTGTTATCAGACAATTTACAATTTGGTAGGACAGGCCTTTAGTGTTATTACTAATAATGTGTCTGCAGTTAAAAATGCAAGATATTGATTGAATCTCAATGAAAATACCTTACTATAATGTTGGTAAATCGGTAAATGTTGGATATTATCTAAAAGAATAATTGAATAATGAGTTGCCATACATATATTTAATTATATTATCCCCAAAACAATCAAATACGGAATTATTTACTATAAACAGTTAATTTACTAATGTCCATCAAATATATTAGCACATAACACAATATGTTTGTATTGTGCGCCAATCTACTGCACTACACTACATGTCATATTGTAGTGTTAGTGCTTCACAATAACGAGCACACATCATGGCGGGTTGATGTAGATCCAGTATCAGATGACGTGTCAATCGCTACATTATATGGACATGTCTGTTGCACATACATGCACATATCTCTGACAGACACTACACTCAAGTGTCTTGTAGCACTCTGACGCGCACTACACATTTGTATCTCTGAGAGACACTACACCCAAGTGTCTTTTGTACAATACACGCACGTAGCTTAGACGCGCACTTCATATTCGTATCTCTGACACACACTAACAGCAAGTGTCTTTGTAGTACAATACAGGACGAATCTTTGACGCGAACTATATTCGTATCTCTGACAGACACTACACCCAAGTGTCTGTAGCGCAAAACACAGACGTAGCTCTGACGCGCACTGCACGTTCGTATCTCTGACGTGCTCTACACAGTCATATCTCTAACAGACACTACTCCCAAGTCTCTTTGTAGCGCAATACACAGACGTATCGCTGACGCGCATTACACATTCGTATTTCTGACAAACACTACACGCAAGTGTCTTGGTAGCACAATACACGCACTTTTGGACGCGGGTTATCGCGGTATTCACTACACAGCACCAGTGTCAAGTCGCATGTGCCTGGGCACTCAGTACTCGGGGTCGATGTCGGGCAGGTGGTGCGGGTTGTGCGGGTTGTGCGGGTGCCGGCGCGGCGGCGGCAGCACGGCGCCTCACATGTTCTGCCAGGTGTTGGCCACCATCACGTTGGCGTCGAGGCCGCGTGCGATGCGCTCGTGCACGCCGTGCGACAGCCACAGCATGCGCAGTCGCTCGTACCGCTCCGGGCACAGGTGCAGCGGGTTGCCACGACGGAGACCCTGGAAACCAGACATAGTTTACAATTATTACCTGCTTATAGTGGTAGATTTGGGCATAGTTTTACCAGTCGGTATGGCAGGGACGAAGTCGCTGGCAACAGTTAGTAAATAAATAAACTTAGTATTATAATTATTGTATGTACATACAGTCACAGAAATCTGCGATGTATCACTTACAGAAAAGAAACTATAGCCCTTACAAATAACTAAGTAGGTAGCAATGAGTTGCGCACGACGGGTTAAAAATAAAATTAATCATCCACGTAACACATTTCAATGCTGCGTCCTATATTGGTTACTGTTTTGCGTCACCTAACGTGTCCAAACACCGCCAGATTCTCCGATTGCACCTTTCAAAAGGACTGATAAGTGTTGACGTTACCTGGTCTGTTTCTCCGTATGTATCGAGGTACGGCGCGGGCAGCATGGCGCCGCGCGAGGGCGCCGCGGACGCCAGCAGCAGCAGCTCGCAGTCGCGCACGCGCAGGAACACGCCGGAGCCGGAGCCGCACTGCGCCGCGTGCGCCACCACCGCGCCCACGTGCTCCGTCACCCCGCCGCGGGCGGACACCTGCACACACCGCACTGTACTACGCCTTTCATGGAATATACTACATAATGATTTATGATTGTAAATTATGATGCCTTTGTGTAAAATTACATTTCCACTTCATAGCAATATTATAAATTTAAGAGTTTATAAGGATGGATGTTTGTTAGTTTGGTATTGATGATAATCTGGAAGAATATATAGGCTATCTAATTCATTTTTTTTTAAATTTCACGTGGATGGAGTAGCGGGCGAAATGTAGTTAGTACATAAATGTGGCGAGTATTATCACTACCTCGATCTGACAGCAGTAGCTCTGCGAGCAGAGGATCTGGCCGCACACGAGGCACATGGTGGGGAACTTGCTGTCCTCGCGCTCGGAGTTGGGGCAGGAGAACTCGGACATGACGTTCATCAGCTCGGAGAAGTCGTCGGGCAGCGGCACGAGGCGCGGCGGCTCGCAC